TTGGCTGGTCGCCCACCCAGAGGAAGTCCTGGGCCTGGTGAACTCAGAGCCGACTATGTCACACCAAGGACACACAGCCTCCTTCCACCAAGAGAGAGTCTTTTCTGCTGTGTCCCTGGCCAGCCCCACACCACCACTGAGGCTCACCAGTCCTCTGCCACACTAAATGCATGATCATAGATTCCTTAGAAATTCAGTTTGATCATTAGACCTGTACATGTGTGTGCTCAGTCATGTCCAGCTCTTTGTTACCCCATGGACTGTAGCCGCCAGGCTTCTCTGTCCACGGAATTCTCCAGGCAGGAATACTGGAGTGGGTTGTCATTTCCTCCTCCTGGGGATCTTCCCAACCCAGGGGTTGAACCCATGTCACCTGCATCTCCTGCATTGGCAGGCGGATTCTTTACTACTTGAGCCACTTGGGAAGCCCATTAGACCNGTGATGGACAGGGAGGCCTGGTGTGCTGCGGTTCATGGGGTCACAAAGAGTCGGACACGACTGAGTGACTGAACTGAACTGAAGTGAATCATATTATCATTTTTTGTTGTTGTTGCTGTGTCCACCTCTAGTTTTTCGGCATAGCAGAAAATTTCTTTGCTTTTTGCATTTCTAGTGCCCAAGCAAAGTGCTTAGTAAAAACACAGAGATGAGGTCTCTGGGGTAAAATTCCAATATCTGTCACTTACTGGCTGTTTAACGTACCTCTGTCTCAATCTTCAAACATTTGTAATGAAAATGAAAATCCTTCTTACTTTATGGGGCTGTCTGAGAAATAACTGGGCTTCCCAGGTGGCGCTAGTGGTAAAGAATCCACCTGTCAACGCAGGAGACGCAAGAGACGAGGGTTCGATTCCTAGGTCGGGAAGATCCCCTGGTGGAGGAAATCGTGACACCCTCCAGTATTCTTACCTGAAGAAATGCCGTGGACAGGGCAGTCTGGCGGGCTACAGTCCATGGGGTTGCAGAGTCAGACAAGACTGAGCACTCACACACGTTTGAGAAGTAACAGGTACGAATGCTTAGCAGAGCGTCTGGCAAATAATAGACAATGACTGCTGCTTACCACGAGTCTTAGTGCTGGGACATGCGGGTGAAAGTTTGATGAGGGGACACGTGAGACAGAAAAGGCTGGGAAATTCCAGCGGGATTCAATGCAGCCATTCAGTTCAGAAAAAGCCTCCAGGAAATAACTTTGTAGAAATAACTTTGTGAATTTAAGTAGATCATGAAACAACTACCTGGAAGGTTTAGAACTGTGTAAAGGAATACAAACAAATGGCATTTAAAATGTTATTGACTAGACTGTAAATGCTCCCAGGAAGACCATATATGCTCCCAATTTAATTGTTTTAAATCAAAAGATTTCACATTCATTTTTTAATAGTGCAAAATGTAAGTCCCATTTAGGAATTAACATACCTAAGCTCTAATATGTTAAGGTGGGGTTGGGAATAGTGGCAACAAAAACATCTGATAAATTATCTAGGAAACCAAAGTTTTGATTCAAAATTCAGAGCTAAAGTCTGAATGCTGCATTTAAAAGATCAGAAAAAATATGCAGCATAGCTGTTAACAAACTCATGCCCTTTAATATCAGTAATTATTAATACTTCAAAGAATATTTGAATTTGCTCAAGCCTGGTTAATAAGAAAACCTTCTTTCTTTCTGCTCTGGACAAATTAAGCATTAACCAGGCATTTCTCATAACAATATTTTGTTGTGAGTCATAATATGGGTTTTTCATCCCAACACAGCAAATGTTTTTATGTCTGTGTGTGCCCTCCCCCAGACATACGAGAAGAGTAAGTGAACTGTGTGATTCAATGACATGTTTTGGAATTTAGACTCAGTGACATTGACCTGCTTATTCCTCCACCTCCTCCAACTCTACCCCAAGTATGACTTGACATACTGAAGGAAAAAAGCAAGACAAAACAGCTCATGTTAATAGTTAAGAGAGATGGTCTTTTAAAATGTTAGGTTGACCTTTTCCCTAGGAGAATGGATACTCCTAGAATACTCCCGTGTCCCTGCTCTGAAAAAGATAAGATGTCCCCAAGGATAAACACTGCGATGGAGACAAGAATTCCTAAGAATATGAAAATCGGTCAACTCTTAAATTGTTAGTGAGATCAAAAGACAGGGCTTCGGTCTGCTGGCTCCCAAACTGCATGGGGGTGGATGGAACAGGGAAAGTGGGAGGTTTCCTCTAGTCTCGGGAGAATACAGTCAGGTAAGTGCTGTAATAAAGAGAAGATCTGATCTAAAGCAGGACCAGAAGAGCAGTCATAGACTTCAAGGGCAGAATTACTGCCTCCCCTGAGCCTGGGCAGAACCACCCCGCAGGAAGTGCCCGGGTTTCCACGCTGCTATTCCCACATGACACGAGTGGTAAAGAACCTGCCTGCCGATGCAGGAGAGCGCGAGTTCGACCCCTGGGTCAGGAAGACGCCCTGGAGAAGGAAATGGCAACCCACTCCAGTGTTCTTGCCTGGAGAATCCCATGGACAGAGGAGCCTGGCGGGCTACGGACCCTGGGGTCGCAAGAGTCGGACACGGCTGAGCGACTGAGCCATCAGTAGAGCTTTAGCCCGTTCTGTTCTCTCCAAGCTCTCGGTCTCTCTCTGTTTTTCTCCCTCTCATCCTGACTCTCCAGGCCGCCCTTCTCCTGAAAGTGGTCGTTCCTCATGCGAGCCGCTCACCAGTGAGGTTCTGGCTCGCTTTGCTCTGCTTGCTCTGTGGTCTCCCACGTGCAGTTCCAACCAGACCTTGACCTTGATGTGTGCGGCCCGAACAGCCTCAGACCAGCAGGCTGGCTGCTTGTCCTGAAAGTCGATGAGGTGCCGAGGGCTGCCTTCTTGATAAAATAAGGTGCGTGCATGCTCGGTCGTGTCCGATTCTTTGTGACCCTCCCCTGGACTGAGCCCACCAAGCTCCTCTCTCCATGGGATTTCCCAGGCAAGAATACTGGAGTGGGTTGCCTTTTCCTTCTCCAGGGGATCTTCCCAACTCAGGGATCGAATCTGCCTCTCCTGCTTTGGCAGGAGGATTCTTACAACTGAGCCGCCTGGGAATCCTAAAATAAGATGGGTGTGAGTCTCTTCACGTTACATATTTTCAGATTAATTCCTACCGACCTCCACTTAAATCCTGAAGTAATTGTGGGAGTGAATTGTATGCATCTTAAGCCAGTCTACATAAGATCAAGTGTAATGTGGCCAAAGCCGTCTGCTCAGTAGGAATCAATCATGCCTTGTACAGAACCCAGGTGTTGTGACCTACAGAACTTTACACATTGGACTTGGGAAACTCTTTGAGACTTGAGTTTTTCATTCATGACAGCTCACCCAGGCAGTGAGAAGGCAGACCTAAATGTGATAGAAGACATGTTGTATCCCAGACACGTTTGTTTTCTGCACTATGAAAGTCCGTTGTTAAGTTGTGCCTGACTATTTGCAACCCCACGACTGCAGCCCGCCAGGCTCCTCTGTCCATGGGATTCTCCAGGCAGGAATACTGGAGTGGGTTGCCATTTCCTCCTCCAGGGCATCTTCCTGACCCAGGGGTGGAAACTGCATGTCTTGCATCTCCTGCATTAGCAGGAGAATTCTTTACCACTGAACCACACGAAGGTGTTTCTACACATAGAGATGATATAATAGTTGTAGTTAGTAATCGCTGGACACTTGCTCTATCCCAAAGGGTTTTTTGAAATCCTCTCTGAGCATTTCCCCAGGGCTCCTCATGATAACTCTAGGAACTCAGTATTATCTTTGTCTTTATTTCTAACTGAAGAAATGAAAGTGAAAGAGATGTGACAGACGCATGTCAGGTTCCAGAGCCGGGTAGGTACATTGCTATTTCAACACTCGGGTGTCACAGCTCAGATATTTTATCATTATGCCAGATAACATTCAACTGTATATGTCAGCCTACTGCATACAGTATTTCCTGAGCATAAATGATGTTCCCGGCACTACTTTAGGTCCCAAAGACACAGGAATGACTGCAAACCACAGAAAGGCCTTAGAAGCTCCATCCTGGTGAGCCTGCAAATAATAAAAATAGCTAACACTTATTGAACATGCTATGTGCTAATGATAAAATAATCTTTCATAATTTAGAAACCATTCTTAGGATTTTTAATTCCATTTGAAAAATAAGGCAAAGTGTTACATCTCAATTGCACTTGGAAGGCATTATGGTAAGTGAAATAAGTCAGACAGAGAAAGACAAATACTGTATGATATCACTTATATGTGGAAACTAAAAAACACAGCAAACTATTGTTGCTCATACTGAGTGAATATGATGCAGACTCACAGATAAAGAGAACTGTACCTCTCTAGTGGCTGACTCGTGAGTGAGATAGACGGGGGAGAGGCAAATGGGGGTCGAGGAGTAAGGTACAAAGTATGATGGAGGAAATAAGCTACAAGGATATACTGTACATCGTGGGGAATATAGCCAATATTTTATAATTATATAAATGGAGTATAATCTTTAAAATTTCTGAATCACTATATTGTACATCTGCAACTTAGTAATATTACTGTGCATCAACTATACTTCAACAATTTTTTTTTAAAGAAGATTGATCTATTTGAGACACCAGGGGCGGGGGCAGGAGGAAGGACAGGGTGGGATGTTTATGGAGAGAGTAACATGGAAACAAATATGTTGCTATATACTCTACTATATATAATATACATAACCAGTGGGAATCTGCTGCGTGCTTCAGGGGACTCAAACTGGGGCTCTGTAACAACCTAGAGGGGTTGGATGGGGAGGCAGGTGGGAGGGAGATTCAAGAGGGGAGGGACATTTGTATACCTATGGCAGATATTTGGTATTTGTTGATATTGGCAGATATTTGGCAGAAATATGTTGATATTTGGCAGAAACCAACACAATATTGTAAAGTAATTATTCTCCAATTAAATAAATTTAATTATTAAAAAAAAAGATTGATCCATTTGACACTCTCTTTTGTTACAGCCCGTCCCTGTGTGTGAAGCTCAGGAACAGTCAGGGTGCTTGGAAGGACAGGCCACGGGAGTCTGAAAGGAAAGGGAAGAGACACAGCCAGCCTCTTCATACATCGGCTCCAGGACCGCGCCAGGGCAGGATGGGGCAGGATGAAGGCTCTAGGGTCCCCAGACGCAGCCGCTGGTGCCTAGGAGATGCTCCACCAGCTGACACTAACCTAAGAGCATCTGCATTTGCAAAGTGACTTAAAGACCACCTGCTTCTCCAGCCTTTGATCACTGAGTCTGCGCCCTGTTTGAAGCTGGTGGGAAACCGTTTCTCATAGAAGCCCTTATCCTCCTGTTCGGTGGTTCTTACGGTTCCCTGGTAGCGCAGACGGTAAAGAATCTGTTTGAAATGAGGGAGACCCAGGTTCGATCCCTGGGTCGGGAAGATTCCCCTGGAGAAGGAAGTGGCAACCCACTCCAGTGTTCCTGCCTGGAGAATCCCACGGACCAGGAGCCTGGGGGGCTACGGTCCATGGGGTCGCCAAGAGTCGGACACGGCTGAGCGGCTGGCGCTCCGGATGCAGGCGGCCCGCCACCTGCCTCGAGGCAGTTTTCACCGCGTTCTTGGTTCTGCTAAATTTGGCTGGAAATAGGGGGTGTGGGGGCCCCATCCGCTGCCCTGCTTCCTTGAGGATTCTGCCTCAGCTCTGCCGACCCTCGGGCTTGGTAAGAATGTTCCTTCTACCTCGATACCTCCTGCCGCCATAGGTCTCATGTTCCGAGTCACTGGTTCCACTTCCAGGCCGGAGAAACAGCAGCGTGCAAGGTACACAGGACCGCGTCCGCCGCTCAGCCGGTGAACACCTACGCCACGCCCTCTATTTGGGGTTTCCTGGAACACAGGAAACTGTGGGGAAAGGGTCTGGATTACAAAATAAAACCCACGCGTTGCTTTGTTTAGGTTGGTCTCGTCTATGTTCTTGGTTTGAAATGCAGGAGTTAGGAAAATGCAGTAATTGAATTTGAAGTGATTTAAATTATAGGGATCATAAATCAAATATCTGCCTTAAGCCACAATACACAGAAATTAATCCAGGAAGGATACTGGTAGCCAGCAATCGTCTCTCCTATGATGTCTCATCCAATTCGAAGATGAAGAGTAAAACCGAGAAGAAAACAGTAACTCCAAATTAAACAACAGTGATTTCACGTGTAATTAGAACTAACCATTTCTTTTCATTTATAGAACATACTCCGATGACCTCTGAGGCTGGTGGCAGGATAAGACATTAATTTATAATTATGCTTTGATAAGGAAAAATTGAAATTACTGTTACTCCCTTCCAAGAAACGCGACTTAGTTAAATTATGAGGCGTTGCTGCCCTCTGCTGGTGTATTTTGATATAACATATCTAGAAAAGATTTTGATGTGTCACTTGCGTAGTCGTGTCCAGCTCCCTGACCCTCTGGACCGCAACCGTCAGGCTCCTCTGTCCCTGGGATTCTCTAGGCAGGAACCCTGGAGTGGTGGCCATGCCTTCCTCCAGGAGATCTTCCCGACCCAGGAATAGAACCTGGGTCTCCAAGTTTCTTTAATAAGAAGCCAAATTTTAAAAATCATTTTACATGTTAGAAATGAAGGTTTTCCTTTATGAATGTACACTTAATCTATTAAAAAGTCATTATGTCATGTGGCTTCTTTCCGTTAAAATGGAGGATAAATCTTTTGAAGCCCAGATATAAATTAATGAGCCAGAAAATGCCGAAAACATAATGCTGGCGGTTAATATCATGCATTTATACGACATTTTCAAAGAGCGCTTAGCACATGTTTTCTCATTTAGTCTCCCATTATCCCCAGGAGGAAGCAAATCATTATATTTTATTTGTTCAACTTCTTAGGTCTGTGGGTGCAGCTGGTAGTTAATTTTTCCGAAAGCAAGCTCTAGACATTTAATGATTTCTGATCAGTTATGTGTCTCCTCCCACAATACCAGCAAGCCACAGCACCTAAACATCAGTAAACAAGGGTCAAACTCTCCTGGAATCACCCCGACCCCATTCAGAACCACAGGGACAGCTACACAGTTTAGGGGTTTCCACCATTTCATCTCGTCTTTAAAATGAAAATTTTGGATCCAAAGGTGAGATAAGGCATCATTTAAGTGATTTATGGTTTATGATCCACTTCAGCATTGACACGTGTTCCAAATCAGAGTTTACTTCTTTATTTTTGTATCTAAAAGAAAAAATTGCATCTGTCCTTTGCTTAAGCACCCGAGGGATCCCAGAACGGTTGTTGTGCTCTGGTTTATATCCAGGACTGCACAGAGCGAAGGCCAGAGAGGGGATATTTGCTTTGCATTTGTGCAAGAAATTTCCAGGGTTTTGTTTATGTTTGCTCATTTGTTTTGTCTTCTGAAAACTTCACATTTTTAGGGAATGCGTGTGCATGCTCAGTCGCTTCATTTGTGTCTAACTCTGTGACTCTATGGACTGTAGCCCGCCAGGCTCCTCTGTCCCTGGGATTCTCCAGGCAAGAATAACGGAGGGGGTTGCCATTTCCTTCTCCAGGGGATCTTCCCGACCCAGGGATCGAACCTGCCTCTCCTGGGTCTCCTGCATTGCAGGCAGTCTTTAACCACTGAGCCACCTAGGATATCCTTTGATGGCATGTGGAAGGATATTCCTACTACATATTCAGGTCATTTCACTAATAAGATTCACCTGGGGGGGCGAGGTGCAGCAAACCAATAGTTAAGCCTCATTGTACTGTGGGGGTGGGGGAATGGGTGGGCGGTTGCCTTTTATATGTCTTATTTCATAAAGCCCCAGAGTGTTCTCATGTTAAAGTGTTTTACAGCATTTTGTTTTAGAGCTTAATAACTGAGGCAAAAATCAGAGCAAACTCCTAGTTGATAGCAGCTCACATTCTGCTCCTAACAGAGTGAGCTCCTGGAAGAAGGCTTCATCCTCTGACTCCATGGACCCAGACACATGCAGTGAAAGCCTTTGGTGACCAAGGCTCTCTGGAGACAGAGGGTGTCCTGGGCTGAGTTGACTAGACGTGACTGTGCCTTGCAAGGGCCTGGTCATGGCAACAGTTATACAGCAAAGAGACACATTTACAGTGGGGTAAAGCACCTGGTGGTTAAAGGACCTGCCTGCCAAAGCAGATGTAAGAGACACAGGTTTGATCCTTGGGTAGGGAAGATCCCGTGGAGAAGGGAGTGGCTACCCACTGCAGTATCCATGCCTGGAGAATCCCAGGGACAGAGGAGCCTGGTGGGCTACAGTCCATGGGGTTGCAAAGAGTCAGACACAACTGAGCGCGCGCGCGCACACACACACACACACGATAAGCCCCTGGAGAAACAAAGACGAGAATGACTGTTGAGAGAACTGGCCATGGTCAGACCATCAGACCATGGAGTGAAGGGCTCTGTGCACACCTGTTACCATATTTCATCACATCTCAGGTGCAAGGATTGTAAGATACATTGATAGTGTGCGGTCCATCAAGAAAAACAACCTGGCTAATTAAACCATCACTCAATGCTTTCTTTCAACTTGAGTCTGGATTTAAACTTATCAGAAGAGATTATTCTTGATATAGTTAGATATCAGTTCAGTTCAGTTGCTCAGTCGTGTCTGACTCTTCGCAACCCCATAGACTGCAGCATGCTAGGCTTCCCTGTCCATCACCACTCCCAGAGTTTGCTCAAACTCATGTCCATTGAGTTGGTGATGCCATCCAACCATCTCATCCTCTGTTGTCCCCTTCTGCTCTCGCCTTTGAGCTTAAAAATCATGACATCTCTGGCTGAAAGTAAATAGGGAAATGTGAGCAACATAAATGGAGGTGATTCGAAAATGTTCACATGTCCAGAGTTCAGATGGGAGTGAGTGGAATAAGAAGAGACATAGAGACCTGGGTTAGACCTTGTGGAGAGCCTGTTTCTGGATGACAGAGCAGTGGGACCGCAGGTGCAAGTGGACACGGGGACAGGAGGTGAGTGAGAGGAGGGAGGGGCACGTGGACCATCAGAGGAGGGAAGGGGCACGTGGACCTGAGGAGGGAGGGGCACGTGGACCCTCAGAGGAGGGAGGGGCACGTGGATCATCAGAGGAGGGGAGGGGGACGTGGATCCTCAGAGGAGGGAGGGGCACGTGGACCCTCAGAGGAGGGCAGGGGGACACGGGGACCGGAGGTGAGTGAGAGGAGCAGGAGGGACGCTGGTGACAAAGACCCGGCGGAGCATGGAGCGGAAGGAGGCAGAGGGGAGGGGTCCAGCAGCAGCACCCCTGAGGAGGGCCTGGGGACGTGGGCCGGGACTGGGTGTGTGTCTTTCTCTGATGAGAGGAGGGGCCCCCCCTTTGGACACTCAGCAAGAGGAGCCAAAGGGGGAGGGTTTCGAGTCAGATGAGAAGACCGCACGGTTTAGGATTTAGGGTTTCTGTCTGATGTTTCTCAACCCCTCAGTTGAATGGGAGGCCAAGTCACTGGCTGGAAAGGAGGATTTGAGAGGAGGTTACCGGAGGATTGAGAATTGAGGAAGGCTATCAAATTATCTTTGCGAATGAGCAAATGTTATCTGAGTAGAAATGCTGTCGTCCTGTTGGACAGATTGCAGGCCCCCCGGAGCCCAGAGTTTATGAAATCCTATGGGCTGGATGGAGCCAGCAACTATTTCCCACATGGGGACAAGCCAGAGATGCATGTTTTTCCCTGTGTTAGAGTTTGCCCAGCAAAGACCTTTGGAGACACATCAAGAGAGGCAGACTGATGGCAAGGAAATCATTGCAATAAGTACTGGCTCACACTTTCAGAGCACTTACTATGTGCCAAGCTCTGTCTCAACCACCATGGGGTTGCAAAGAGTCGGGCACGACTGAGTGACTTTCACTTCACTTCACTTGCGATGCCTTTGGAATAAAGCACAGTGACGGACACCGCATTCCTGCTTCCCATTTCCATCATCTCACCTCCTTGTCTGTAGCATCTGGTTGTTCCCACATGGCTTCATCACTGAGCTCATCACTTTGATGACCAAGGTGCCCACTTCAGTGGATGCCCACCCCATCAGCCTCAGCTGTAGATCAGTTACCCAAGAGCTTTTGAGGATGCTGTTTTTCTCACCTATGCCTTTCTAACACCTTAGTAAACTGAGTGTCTCTGGGGCCCTGATAGTTGACATCATAAAGGAGAAGGTGAAACATTTGCATATGATGCTGTTCCCCGACACTGTTATTTCCCCAAGCTTTTAGATTTCCACCTCTGTATTCTGGCGGCTCTAAACTTCAGCCCCATTAAATTCAGGACAACATCCCATCCAGTCATCCAAGTAGACTGTTTCATCTACTTCCAGCTGCTTGA